AATTAAAAATATTTACTTTTTACAATGAAATATACAAAGTATTTGCATTTCTACTACTCTCATTATATATGTACTAATAATAGTGTTTAATCACGTAATTATAACTTTAATTTATTCAACCAAAGACTCATTATATTCACCTTTAGCTAATTCAATTAGTATTTAGTTCTATGAACTATATATACCTTTTAGGTTTCTCCCCAATCTTATATAAAACCTGACACGCTTAATCTAACTTTAGCCCATGATATTTATTCCAGATTTTTCCACTTATCTCGTCACATTCCCCATGATTTATCAATTAGCAGGATGACACAAGAGACAATTTCAATTAAGACCTTTTTTTATTTCTATTTCCTCGGTAGGCCCCACATGGCGTATACGCGATCATAAAATAATAATATTAATAATACGCCCCGTGAACCCATAAACTTCCTCGAAATTTTCTTATCAATGACAAGCAAAACTCAACTTAATCTTTAGCTAGATGGAAAGAAATAAACGAAAACCCTGACTCGATTTTTGGATTTTTGCAGAAACGTGGCCAGCGGACAAAGCTTATCAGCGGAAAGTCCGAAAACACATTGATAAGCTAATGAAATTTAAAATAACAAACTCCATTGGGGGGCTCTCTTTTTCACTTTTTGTACTTTTTTGTTTTTAAATAAAATTTTGTCTGGTTCAGAAACGTGCTCGACCAACCAGAAAAATGCCACACAACAACGCCCTGGTCGAGACAAGACACCAAAAAAAATAGAGTTTATTAAAAGAGATTAGCATAAATTTGGAAATTTTATGAGCGACGCGAAACTCAACAAAATCAAAACCACAAAAACAGTTACGAACAAATAATACGAAAAAGTAGAAAAAACATAAACCTGTTGGCGCCGCCATAACAAACAAATCTAAGCCTGATTTCAAAACATGAAATTCCGTAAATTTGCGACTCGAAATTTAAAATTCTTAAACTCAAATAGCAAAGTCCAAAATGGTTATATTTTCGCCAAGAGATTATATAAGACGCTGAGCGATGAGGGAATTTAGGAGAAAAAGGCAGCGAAAGTCTAAAGATTGCAATGGAATTTGTTTAGAGAAAATATCAATATAAAGAATTGTAGGGTTTTAAAATATACATAATGTATTTCTAAAATAAAATCTTATATTTATATATTCATTGTTATTTTGTAGCAAGAGGAAAAATAACTATATTTTTAATAAAGCTAAAGTAAAGACTGGAAGGGATTGGCGAGTATATCAAGGTTTTTGGTTACTCAATTGGAAAATTAATAAGCTCTTGGATTTATTTTGAAGGCTAGATAAATACATTATTATTACGATATAAGAGAACTTCTTAATTTAAAATTTTTTCTTTTATATATATAAAATATAGATATAATATTTAGACCCTAAATATATAAAAGCTTTAAAGTTATTTCCTGATGAACTGCTAAACTAAATTTATAAAAAAAAATTCCCTTTCTTTGTTTTGTTTTTATTTGTTTTATTTATTTTTATATAATACTATGCGTTCTTTTGCTCATTTTATTTAATCTCCTTGTTTCCTTTTTTATTACCTTTTTTTGCGCAACAAAAAAATGTGCCGCAAGCCGTTTGTTTTGTTATTTTTCTGCGACTGCGACTGCGCAACGACTTTGACTTCGGCTTTCCAAGCCCAATTCCCCGCTCTTGCTCCCGGGATTCCATGGCCTCTGTCTCTGCCTTTGCCTCTGCCTCTGCCCAGATGCGATCCCAAAACCGATCGCCAGACGGAAAACACATCCACATCCCATAACGAGACGAGGGCCCAGACCCAGACGGCGACTCGAAGGCAGACCCAACTCGAAGTCCCCGAGCAAAGTACAGAGACTCCGCAACAGCAGACAATGTTGGCAACCGGTTTGCGATTTATTTTTATATATCTTTTTCTTTTTTTATATTTGTTTTTGTATTTGTATTTAGCCGCTCAACCCCCTCCTTATCAGCCCTGTCTCGCTCACTCTCTTTCTCTCTGTCTCTCTGGCTCATTATTATTATTATTATTTGCTGAATATTTAACATTGAAGCTCTGGTCGAAGCGGATTTTCATGGCACCAACACACAAATGGGTTCAAAATATATATATATATAAATCTGAAATGTATATATAGTAATGAGCCAAAGGGCGCCGAAGCTTAAAATACCCTTGGGTACAGAAATTGTTCTTGAACAAGGATCAAGTTTCAAGGTTAAAATTGGCAAAGTAAATTATTTGCCTGCTGTAAGAGTGTCTTTATTACATTTTGTATTTGAAAAATAAATATGTATTTTAATTTATAAACAAAAAAATACTTCTTAAATGTTCCAGGTAAATTAAAAAAAAAACTTTTAAATAAATTCGGAAAGGGTGAGAATATTTTGAAATATTGTTCGATATCTATTTATTTATTGAATTAATGTAATGTATTTTTACTATTGAAATAGTGCTGTTTTAAGCTAGCTTTGATTATTTTTATCAATTTTTAAAAGACGTTTAGATTCAATAAATATATCTCAGTTTTTATAATCAATAATATAATCTTCATTTATTTAGAAACTTGAGTCCTAGTAATAACAATTCCCACACAATTCTAAGTACATTTGCTAACAAATTCGTGTCTTTCAAGGAACCCTTTCAATTTACAGGGTATCAAACCTATATCTCCTATATCCTAAGGATCCTTTCCCCGCAGGTTTCAAAAACAAATCGGCAAAAACTGAACGAAAAAATGCTAAAAATAAGCTGCGTGGCTGCGCTGCCGCGGCGGCAAACAAAATGCCAAAATGCGGCAGACGCGCCGGCAACCGCGAAATGCAGCAACAAAAAAAATATGAACAATAACAAAAAATATATGAAACAGCAACAAAATATCCCCCAAAAGTAAGCAAGAGACAACAAAAAGCACAATCTGCAGCGGAAAATGTATTATTTATTGTGTTTTTTGTCTGTTTGCGTGAAAATATTTTTCGCGAGCGCTGTTTAAGCATAAAATTAAGTAGTTTAAATAAATAATAACCGACAAAACAAAACAAAAATGAAAGCAGAAGTAAAAAAAATTGTTTTACACCCCAGCCCAGTGGAGGAGCGAGCGCCATAAATTTGCAGCTGCATTGGAAATAATAATTATTATGAATTCATTATAAGTTTGTGGCTTTTTTTCGTTATTAAGTCTATTTTGCATTTTCGTCTTCTCTATGGTTTTTTTTCTTTAACAAAAAATGGAGAAGAAGAACGAATGTGAATGGAAGTTGGGGGTTCTGTTGAAATTGTTGTTATTCTCGTAATTGCCGCTGGGTGGGGCTTTCGGTCGGTCAAATGCATAATTAAAATTAAGATCAGGGCTCGGAAAATATGTGTGTGCATAAATATAGAAGGGAGAGAGAGGGTGAGAGCTAACGAAGGGCGGGGCTGCAGAGAGAGATTATCTAGCTAATAATCCCTTAGAGTACTCAGGAAATCAAGGTTATGCCAACAACAAGGCGAAAAATAACACTTTTCGTCGCTGTGGGTTATTTTTCAGTCACCGGAACACAGAAATATAGAAAATACAAAAGAAAATACAACCTATATACACTAATAAAAGGCTACAAAAACCAAACCAAATTTTATCCAAGAGATATAGTCCTTGGAAAAGATCTAGAATTTTACATGATAATTTTTGTACAAGGTAAAGTTTAAAAATGCAATAACTCAGCCAAAAAAGCATTAATTTCACTTTGGAAAGCGTTCCTATGTTTGTCCTATATGACAATTTGATCTATAAATCAAATTTTAAAAAACTCATAACTAAGCCAAAAAAAGCATTAATTTCACTTTGGAAAGCGTTCCTATGTTTGTTTTTATAAGGGTAATAAACCTGCATACTCAGTTTAAAATACAAAAAAAATTAATTTTTCTTCGTAAAGTTTTGACAATTTAAGCCATAAAAAAATTTTAAAATTTGAAAAAATTAAATTTCAGCCAGACATCGATAGATCGAATCGGCTTTTGATGCTGATCAAGAATATATATGATTTATAGGGTCGGAAATGACTCCTTCACACTTTTACAAGCTTCTGACTAAACTTAATATATCAATCTTTGAATCGATATTTATTTATATTGTATATGACAATTTTATCTATAAATCAAATTTTAAAAAACTCATAACTAAGCCAAAAAAGCATTAATTTCACTTCGGAAAGTGTTCCTATGTTTGTTTTTTTAAGGGTATTAAATCTGCATACTCAGTTTAAAATACAAAAAAATTAAATTTTTCTTCGTAAATTTTTGACATACAAAAATTTTAAAATTTGGAAAAAATTAAATTTCAGCCAGACATCGATAGATCGAATCGGCTTTTGATGTTGATCAAGAATATATATGATTTATGGGGTCGGAAATGACTCCTTCACACTTTTACAAGCTTCTGACTAAACTTAATATATCAATCTTTGAATCGATATTTATTTATATTGTATATGACAATTTGATCTATAAATCAAATTTTAAAAAACTCATAACTAAGCCAAAAAAAGCATTAATTTCACTTCGGAAAGCGTTCCTATGTTTGTTTTTTAAGGGTATTAAATCTGCATACTCAGTTTAAAATACAAAAAAATTAAATTTTTCTTCGTAAATTTTTGACATACAAAAATTTTAAAATTTGGAAAAAATTAAATTTCAGCCAGACATAGATAGATCGAATCGGCTTTTGATGCTGATCAAGAATATATATGATTTATAGGGTCGCAAATGTCTTATTCACTGTGTTTCAGGCTTAAAACTGAAATTATAATACCCTGCAAGGGCATAAAAATATAATGGAAAGCAAAGGAAAGCTATATCCTAAGCTAAATGTCTTTAAATATTAAGAAAGATAAATAACTCGTTAATTAGTTTAAGAAATTATTACTAAAATGAATTTATCAATGCTTTCCTTGTATTATAACCGAAACTATATATTTTCGAATGATGACAAACAAAATGTTAAATTGATATTTACCTTTCGTTTCTTATGATCCATTTCCCCTTGCTGCTTGTGCATCTGCTTGTGCATCTCCTTGAGCTCCACCTCCTTGAGCTGATCCAGGATGATCTGGTACTTCTCGCGGTTCTCCACATCGAGCGCCACGTGGAGGTAGTCGTGCCAGTTGCGTGAGTCGAAGCCCCAGTGACAGGTCTGGTTCTCGAACTTGCGATGGACATGGCCGACGAACTTCTGGGGCGAGAACCAGCCGTCGCACTCCAGGCACTTGATGCAGGTCGGCTTCTGGTACGAGTACATATCCGGTGTACAGATGCCCTCGCACTTCCCGAAGCACTTGTGATAGACGTGGAAGCTGAGAGCGCCCTTGGCCAGGCTCTCGATGGGCACATAGCTGTTCCGATCGGATCGATGGAGCAGGGCGGCGCACAGACGCTCGGCATCCGTTCGGGTGATCAATCCACTCGCCTTCACATCCGACGGCAGGATCTTGGCGGCCTTGAACTCCACCAGCTGATCCGGTGTGCACTGGGAGCAGTAGATGCCCAGTTCGTCGAAGATCCGATTGATCTGCTCCAGCGAAAAGTCGTTCAAGACATTGTTGAGAAACTGCGGCAGACACAGCCTCATCTCGCCGCCCACGGAGAAGCAGCCAATGGTCTTGCCCTCCAGCCGCGTCTCGTACAGTTCACCGCATCCCGAATCCGCCATCGATAGTATGGGCTGCGATAGTTCCCGCGGCGGTGTCGCAGGTGGATATATCTGGGGCGGACTCCCCCTGCTACCGGTGGAGCAATCATGATGATGATGCAGTTCCTGCGGCTCCGGGGAACTTAGAATCTCTTTCTTAATCAGAGCGGCGGCCACCACCGGCGATGTGGCCTGGCATTTGCCAAGGAGGAGGCCAGGACTGTCGCTTCTCCCATTGCTGGTTATGTCACCGAGGACAACGCCGGCGGCATTGAGAGCATGTCCTGGTCCCTGGAGCGATTTGGTGGCACTCGTCTGGTACTTCTTCAGGACGTTGCTTATCATGGGCGTCACGTATTCGGTCATTTTGGTGCCTTTTAATGTGTCTCCCAAGATATCTTAGTAATCCATTTTTGAGAACTTTCAGGGTTATCTCTCAAGGTGCTTGAAAATACCTCTTATTTATGATTATTAATAATATTTTATATGGATTGATTGATTAATTTTCACTTGATTATAGAAGTCTTTAAGATTTGGTGAATTTTATTAATAACGATTGGGATCCATTTTTGCTGGGTTAAATATTTACTATATTTATTATTATTATTAAGTGTTTGAAGTAATTTTATAATTTATTTTATTTTCTTTTAATTTTGGCACATTTGTGATTTGTTTGTTTTTGCTTGCTTTTTTTTTGTCAGCTAGTTTTATTATTTTCCAGCTCTCCTTTTAGAATTTAAGCATTTAGCTTTTTGCCGTCGGCAAAATTCAGCTGGCACAGCACAAACACATCTTTTTTCCTATATATTTTCGTTATTTTTCATTATTTTAAGTTGTATTTATAGAAATACATATTTTCCGGCGTTGATTTGAACAAAACTTGTGCGCACTTTTCGGCGATATTCCCGCATGCACTTTATTTGATTTTCGCCATCAATTAATTTCCTCTCCTTTCGGCGCAATTTCTTAATTTTAATTTTCGTATTTCATTTTATTTTCAATTTCTTAACTGCAAAAGCACACAAACACACTCACACGCGGCACGCGGATACACGGACACGGCGGGGACACACACACACACACACGCGCGCACGCAAGGCCGGCAGACGGGAGAGCGGGGAGCGGCGAAAGAGAGCGAAAAAGCGGGAGGTACAAAAAACGCCGCCTGACAAATTCTTTTAATTTCTCGTTGTTGTTGTTGTTGTCGCACTATTTATAAATCTTCTGCTTGCAAATTATGTATTTTCCTTTTTTGCACATTTATCTTTGGATTGCCGCCGCACTTTACTTTGTATCTTTTCGCTCGTTTTGTATCTTCGTACCTTATTTTCTTTCTATTTATCTTTTTTTTCGCAAGCGTCGCACGTGCGAGCTTTCGAGATATATTTCGATTTTTGCCACCACCGCGACAGCCGCCAACACGTCCGAACCGATTCTTTCGTTTGTTCACTTAACATAGAAGCCAGTGCTGGCAGTTTGGCAAGTTTACATAGAAGCTTGCCAGTGTTGCCCGTTGGGCTTTTTTTTCTGGCTATTTGACAACGAGAAAGCTTAGGAAGTTTGCAACTAGCTTGTAGCCAACTTCAGATTATTTTTTACTTGCGCGAACGGAAAAAAAATTAAGAACGAGTTAAAATAATAAACTTCTTTGGAATCTTAAAGATACAAAAGGATCTAACGGATCAAAACGAAACTGTAAGCCGTGTAATCCCCGTTTTCTGTTTAATTTACCACAACTTTTCTGTTACTCTACATTTTTTTTTTTTCTGTTAACGCTCTTTTCTGAGAACACGATGTACGGAAACAAATTCGAAGGAGATTCAAACTTAATTGTCAAATAGATTAAAAACATAAAAATAAATATAAATAATACTGCTTACGAAGACAGCAATGGTGATATGCATCAGACGCATCATGCTGTTTTACACTTGTAAGTATTAAATAAGACTTTAAGAATTAATGATGGTAAATTAATAGATTTAAAATTATAGAAAAAGTAAAACAATAAACCATAGTAGTCGTTTTTATAAAGAAAATGGAAAAGGTGCGAGTTGAAAGATAAGCGCGAAGTATCGAACTCTTGGCCAAGGGATCACAATCCTTAAGGTAAAATATTAAAAAAAAAAAAAACAAATAAAATAAATAAAAAATAGCAAAGTAAACCAGTCAACGCTGCAGCGTGTTAACGTTGACTGAAGTGACTCTGGCGTTTGCTGTCTATTTATATTTTTTTTTTTTTGCAAAGCCTACTATGATTTAAATTTTAATATAAGAAAATAGGCAGCGCCTCTATAGGGGGGTTTCTGAACATAGTTTCTCACCACACACCCGAAACAGCTGATGGAAGATTTTCGTTTATCCCGACTGCGGTCATACTACAACTGAATTTTTGATTAATTTTACAAGTAATTATTGTTTTTAAAGGAATACTAGACAATAGAGACACCAAACTGACATCCTTTCTGTATTCTAGCAGGGGGTTAACGAAAAGCCTGTGAAATGCCAGAGCCGCGCAGTCCGATGGCTAGTTTTGCCCAATCGGTGCACAATGTGATCGATGGACCCATTACCTGGTTCCGTGGTATGTAATATCCTGCTAATTGCTACCAAAAGGATCTGGAGGGAGCCCCTTTACAGGCGGGAATAGCTTGCACGGACCGACAAATGGGAAAAAGTTGAAAAAACTTGGAAAAACTCCGGACAATTACATAATGACATAACCTCAACTGCGCGCGAATTGTTTGTTTTTGTTTACACTCCCCCAGTGCAAAAATAATACACTTAAATTAAGAATAATTCTGATATCAATTACCTTGCAGAGACCATTGTGGAGCCCAACCAGGAGAAGTACAACTGGTACCATCAGCGCTTCCGTCGCGTGCCGACCATCGATCAGTGCTATGTGGACGACGCCGTCTGCCGGTTCGAGGCGGACCAGCAGTTCCGTCGGGATCGCATGGTGGACAATGAGATTGTCAACATCCTCCGCCAGCGCTTCGAGGACTGCACCCTGTACGAGGCTCCGGATCACATGGTCAAGTGCAAGCCGCTGTTGGAACAGTACGAGAAGGCCACCGAGAATTGGTTCATCAAGTGTGAGTTTCAACAAACGAGCTTCTTGCTATGTGAGTGAGTCCCTCTACTCATTCGTTTCTCGACTGTTTTAGATGGCGATTTGGGTGGCTATGCCAATGCCAAGACCGCTTACATGAAGCAGAAGCATCGCTTGATCTGGGAGCGTCGCCATGGACCCGTGGGCAGTGGCATGAAAGAAGAGGAGGCAGTCCACTAAAGGCTGGATGATGTTTTTTTTAGTTCCATTATCCGTTATTTCGAAAATATACACACACACGCCCTGAAAAAATGGTAAACCGAAGGCAGTGAGCATTTGCAAAGTAATTTCATTAAAAGGATAATCGTGCTGGAAAAGGTTTATAGGTTAAAGTTAAAGTAAAGGGAATTAGGTATGTATATCAAGTGAAAACGATCGATTTGATATGCCGACAAATCTGTGTATCGGTCGCAATATCATATCGTAACCTTTGACATAATGGAATTTTCAAAATCCCAATTTCATTGGTCCAATATATCAGAGATAATATTGATTTTATCGACTTTCCGTTAAATATCAATATTTCTTCAGTTAACTTTATGATCTGTAGAAAAAAAGTTTGAAAAGTTAAGAGTAAAAGCAAAATTATTTTATTTCTTATAAAGGAGTTTATTAAAATTTATAGTCATTATCATTATTTAGCAATTTTTAATTAGAAAACCAGAATTTAAATTATCAGTTTCTAGTTGCTGTTAATCAATTCATTTAAGATGTCGTTAGTTTGTTTAAATAATTCTAGCAGAGATTTATAAATACTATGTTCTCTTTAAACTAAGTAGATACTTTGAGAAATTTATCGATCTTCCAAAAAGAGAAGAGCAGTCTTTAGGATTTCTTTAAAAATCAATCTGAATTTTTTTAAGCGTTCTTTTTGAGGCTTTTTGAATTGGAATTTTGAATTTGACAATTAATAATTAACAAACACTTATTGTACTCCCGGAAACTTATGAACAAAATAATATTTCAATTCGTTATAAGAGAAAAAATTAGTTTAACTTCTTAAAATAAACTTACAAAATATGGGTTTTTAAGGAAAAAGCTTTTCTTTCTGTAAAATAACTAAATAAGAATTTTTTGTTATTTAAAAAAAAGAAAAACGTTAGAAATGTTGTAGATGTCAAGGAAACTACATATATGATTTTAATTGAAATCTACTTCTTGCAATTTTAAACAAAAATTTGACTAAAAAGGAAATTAATCTTGTTAAAAAAAAAATTAAGTAAAATTATTCATTTTTTCATAGTTTGAGGGAATTTTAAGCTGTATCTTTCATTACTAATCGTGAATATTCTCAGTAATTATGTTAGTTAATTAATATTAATTACCGAAAATCCGCGTAGGTCTTCAGTTTATATACTAAAAATTCATCTATACTCTTTCCCATTGATCAGCTAATCGAGACTAAGGGCTTGTTCATGAGACTCTTCTTGAGCTTGGCCAGAGCACTATTCGCGGACTTGCCTTCACCGGGCTTCTTGTCCTTGTTTTTGGGTCCCAATGGGATCATCGTTGTGTCCATCAACTTGCGTCGGAATCCCTTGTAGAACTGCAGAACTTGGGGATTGGCCCACACCTGCTTGGCATCAAAGTCCAGGATGCGAATGGATTGCAGGGACTTGGCACGGGATAGAGCCACATAGGCCTGGCCAGCTTCGAACACCTTTGACAGCGACATTTCCACGCAATCGAGGGTCAATCCCTGACTCTTGTGGATGGAGAAGGCCCAAGCCAGTTTAAGCGGTACCTGACGTCGTGTGAGGATGCCTCCAGTGGCGGTCTTAATAATCCATTTCTCGTGCCGGCACACATACTCCTGGTTGTTCTTGAATCGAACCACTGGAAGATTATCCTTATCTATCCGAACAACCACTCCGCGAGCTCCATTCACCAGACCATTGGATATGTTAATGTTTTTCAGAAGCATTACCTGGGCATTCACCTTTAGGTAGAGCTGGGATGGCGCCTGCACCTGTTGGTCCATTTGCTTCGTCATCGATGCATCCGAGTCGTCCGCTTTGAAAAGGATCTTGTCTCCCTGAAGATTCTCCAGCTTCGATTCGTTGATTGAATTAGCATCATTGGTGTGAGAGCACAGCTGGGTGGCCAAGATGCCATTGCCCTCGATCTTCTGTTTTGAAGTGGCCGCCAGTCGAGTGGTTATCGAGTCATTCACATGTCCAATGCGAAGGTGGTTCAGGATCTTCACAAACTCTGGATCGGATTGACGGTGCACCTGCTTCAGCTCGTAGACACACTGAATGCAGGTTTCCCAGGCACTGGACTGGAAGCAAAAACGCTGCTGCGGCGTGGCCGTGGGCGCAGCGCCAAAATCACCTTTGATAACTGGCGGAAGCTGGAGGAAATCACCGCAAAGGATGAGCTGGATGCCACCAAAAGGACGATCATTGCGACGAATGTGACGGGCAACGGCTTCGATTTTCTAGAAGGTAATAATAGGGTTATTAAATATATAGTAAAAATCGATTGATCTTACCTCAAAAAACTGCCCATCCACCATGGAGATCTCGTCGATAATGAGTCGCTTGCACTTGCGCCATGTCTGGGCACTCATCGGTCGCGATGCCAGGTCCAGGCACCTTTGCATGGACGCATCTCCGCCGCCAATGCCTGCAAAGGCATGAAGTGTGGTGCCTCCGATCAGACAGGCAGCCACTCCCGTTGAGGCCGTGGCCACCGTGCCATCGGGCGGCAATGCTGATATGATACGTCGTAATAAGAAACTCTTGCCGGTTCCAGCGGAACCCGTGAAGAAGACATTCTTGCCAGAGGTGCAGGCCCGCAGTACTTCCATTTGCTCTTCGCTCAGCTTGAGTGTCTCATCCGTGGCGGATTGATAGAGCTTCTTGGCCGCCGGCAAGCCACCCTTGTCTCTTTCCTCTCGCAGCTCCTCAAAGCGCCGCTTTTGGACGCCTGAGGGGATGGTGTCGTCGTAGAGCCCTTCGACAGCAAGCCCGCCTTTTTTCGCGCCAAAATCATCTCCGCCGTGGTCACCGGGGAGACGTCCTCAAAGCTGCTGGGCTTACCGGACATCAAGTGCTCCCGCAGCTTCTTCTGGAGCGTGGCATCGTCGGGCTGAGCTCCCTCCTTACCGTTCATCTTGATGAAGATCGTTCGCAGGAAGAACATCAGCGTGCCGGGCGGTGCATTCGACAAATAGAGCGTACAGCTTTCCGCCTTGAAATTAAAGGTGGCCTTGCCCTCGGACATGAACTTCTTGTGCACCATCAGATCCTTGAGCTTGAATTTGAGCGGCTTCAGCTTCTCGGGCGTCACCTCCACGAACAGCTCCCGGAGATCGTTGCGCACCAAGCGCAGAGTCGCCGTCTTGTAGGCCAGCTTGCGACCCGTAACGCCCACGGAATTTGTCCACTGCATGTTCACCGCACACGTGAGCACTGCGTCGTTGAGATCCATCGCGTTTTAACACTGATTTACTCGGGTTTTTGTTAAATTTAGCGCGAAAAAAATAAAAAAAACCACTTCCTCATGCGGCAAATCACTTTCGATAACGATAAAAACATCGATTTTTTGTCAGCTGTACTGCATTTTCGGCGGTTTTGATCGCGGTTTCGCGGTAAAAGTTTTTTAGCGGTTTTAATACCTGGCCACACTGCGATCGTGACATGGGTAAAATAAACTTTACACTAAAAATTTGACGTGATGCAGCTGTTGATATTGGCGTTGCCAGACTGGGCAACACACACCTTTGTTATTTTTAAATTCTAAATACGTTACTTTTGGTGTACACTACATCAAGTTAGTTTAAATGTTTCTACATTTAAAAGGAAACTAGAAGGCTTTGTAAATTAATTCTTTCTTGATATATATTATATATATTACCACCGAACCATTCTGGAATCATATATTTCGTAAAGAAAATCCAAATATGAATATCGATTTAAAACTACTTGTGCGACTCCTGCTCGCCATACTATTGGGGTCCTTGATATCGACGGTTTTCCTGGGCAAGCACATACACATAATGAAATCGGTAAATAAGCACAACAACAAGTCAAAGGATATTCATTCGGAAATTGAGATACGGAAAAATATTCCGCAAGAGATTCATTTAGAGTCCCCACTAGTGGTTTCCTCAGATATCTCTACTAGTTATTATACCGAGGACCTGATAACGACCGAAAAAGCTGAACGTTTCAACAGCATGAGCAGAAACAAATTCGAGCACTTGAAAGTGAGTAGAGGGGGTTTGTTCCGCCTGCTGAAGCACACTGGCACTCTAAAGGATTGGCACAACCAATATGCCATGCTCCGGGACAGACACCGGAAGGGGCTTGGCGAAATTGGAAGGGCGGCTATCATTGCGAAGATAAACGACGCCGGAAAGACGCTTCTTGGGCTCCACGGCTTCCAAGCTGTGGTGTCCGATTTGATCTCCGTAAATCGATCTTTGCCGGATGTGAGACCACGGAGGTGAGTTTTGAATGCCAAATTAAATAAGTTAAATTTTATGCTTGGTTTACCTAGATGCAATAAGGTCAAATACCAGAAAAAACTACCCAATGCCACCGTGGTCATCGCTTTCCACAACGAACACCTGAGTGTGCTGCTGCGATCTATACACAGTCTCGTAAATCGTTCTCCTCCGGAGCTTCTTGGTGAGATTATCTTGGTGGATGATGCCAGTAATTTGGCAGACTTGGGACAAAAACTTGATGACTATGTGGCGCAGACATTTGGAAAAATAGTAAGCTTGGTAAGACTTTCCGAGAGAAGTGGTCTAATTAAGGCGAGGATGGTGGGAGCCAAAAAAGCCAGCTGCCAGGTTTTGATCTTCCTGGATTCCCACATTGAAGCCACTTACAATTGGGTAAGGTACCAAGGATAAGCATTTATATCACAAATTTTATTATATAATTTGGTGGTTTTCAGCTACCCCCTCTCCTGGATCCCATTGCCATTCATCGTACCATTGCCACAGGACCCATTGTGGACGCAATTTCCCGCGAAACCTTTGCTTATGAGATGGGATCCCAACTCACTCGTTCTGGCTTCAATTGGCGTCTCCATGTGAAGCATTTGCCGCCCCTTCCAGAAGACACTCTGAGGCCGTCCTCGCCCTATCGCACTCCCTTGCTGGTGGGCGCCTTGGTCATCGATAGGGAATACTTTGGGATCTTGGCGGCTACGATGAGGAGCTGGACATCTGGGGCGGGGAGTATCTAGAGATGAGCTTTAAGATTTGGATGTGCGGCGGCATGCTGCTCTATATACCCTGCTCCAGGGTAGCGCATATCTCGAGGGGACCCGTGCTCAAGCGATCGAATCCAAGGAACTACAACTTTCTGGGAAGGGTGAGTAAGGATCTAATTAGTGATAAACTCTTAATATTTATTGGCACACAGAACTACAAGCGCGTGGCTGAGGTCTGGATGGATGACTACAAGAGATTCGTTTACGAACGAAATCCGGAACTCTTCCAAGACGTGGATGCTGGCAATATGACCGCCGTGAAGGATCAGAGGAAACAGCTGAAATGCAAGTCCTTCGATTGGTACATGACCAAGGTGGCTCCCGATTTTCTGGCCAAGTTTCCCCCCGTCGAGTCACTGCCCCTGGCCTCGGGTGTGATCCAGAGCGTGGCCCATCCTGCCCTTTGCATGGACACCCTCGAGAGGGAGCACAATCAGCCGCTGGGCCTGGCACGCTGCACTAATCCGCCGGGCAAGTACCAGGACTGGACTTTCACCAAAGATCATGAAATCCGTCTGAAGACGGGCAATGCCTGCCTGGAGGAGGGCGGATCGAAGGGCTATAATGTCGCTGTTAAGTTGTATCACTGCCACAGTCTGGGCGGGAATCAGTTTTGGTTTTATAATCCAAAGTTGAAATGGATCCAGCAGGGTGAACAGTGGTACCGCTGCCTAGAGGCCATTCCTCCAATCGGATCAAATCCTGGCCAAGTGGTGTCCAATAATTGCGATAAGAGCAACGTACTGCAGAGATGGAACTTTGGTAGTGCCTAAGAGACGTTTACCTTCATCAAATTAAAAAAAAAAATGTTTAATGTAGTATTATATTTAATACTTTGAATAAAAACATTCCGAACCTAATTTCTTAAAATACCTACATGCAGCATACCTAAATATATGTACATATGACCTTCGTATACCTAAAATAAATCTTAAAAATATATGTATTTAAAGTATATTAAATACATTTGTTTATATGCTTATTTTTTGTGTAAATCAAACTATTTTAAATATCATAATTAAGCCAAAAATCCATTAATTTCAATTTGGATTGATTTTCTGTGCTAGTTTTTACAGGGCTAACAAATCTGCATATTAAGTTTTAAAATTAGTAAATTTTAATTCCTTTTTTAATTTTGATCATTTTGACGATGTAACCCCTTAAAAACTTATTGAAATTAAAAAAAAAAAATACATTTTAGCTAAACATAGCTAGATCGATTCCGATGTTGATGCTGATCATGAATAACAATATATATGATTTAAAGGGTCGGAAATGACTCCTTCCTTGCGTTACAAGCTTCAGACTAGAATCTAGATCTTGGCCTTATCCCTCCTATAGCGCATATATACTTGATATAAATGTCATGGTTAAGACTTACCGCACCTCATTGGAACAGCGGCAACTACTTACTTCACCTCTTGATTGATAGTGGAGAACGGTGTTGCCTCCAGTGTGTTATCTCCCACTATTTTCCCCACTCTCGTCGCAGATCAATTACACTAATGGCCATTGATTTTTGCCAGGTGTCTCCGGCTTGCTGTTCCGTGGCTGCCCTGCCATGGCAGCAGTCTCCGCTTTGGGTTTCCGCCGGCTAGACGTCAGGATCATGGCCATGAAGAAAAGATATGTGAAGCGCCTGGTGCGCAAGGTGATCCTCTCGCTGCTCTCCATTGCCCTGGTTTCCCTGGTCACCACTCTGATTGTGGAGCAGCGCATGCGACCATCTAGCAATGTCGTGGAGGAGAACCTAGATCCAAATGGAGATCCCATCACACCCATTTTTCGAGCAGCAAATATTATACCCACCAGGAAGGCTCCACGACCACCGTACCAGGATCGCAACTCCTTCATAAATCCGCCCAAGGAGGTGAAGCAGGGCTTTAGGCTCCCGGAACCGGAAGGTGAGCGCAAGGATTGGCATGATTACGTGGCCATGGAGGCAGACAGGAAGCGGGTCGGTCTGGGAGAGCATGGAGCCGCCGCTCATAATGATCCCGACGAGAAGGAGCTGGAGGATCAGCTGTACAAGAAGAACGGATTTAATGGTCTTTTGTCGGATCGAATCTCTGTTAATCGTTCTGTGCCGGATGTGAGAGCTGAAGCGTGAGTTCAGCATATATTATTGTTATATTTTTCAATTATTTTATATTATTTTCTAGTTGCAAATCCCGCAAGTACCTGGCAGAGCTGCCCAATGTCAGTGTAATCTTCATTTTCTTCAACGAACACTTCAACACCTTGCTGAGATCCATTTACAGTGTGATTAATCGCACTCCGCCAGAGTTACTCCGACAGATAATCCTCGTGGACGATGGCAGTGAGTGGGAGGTGTTGAAGCAACCCCTGGATGACTACGTGGCCAGGCACTTTCCCCATCTAGTGGATATAGTAAGGAATCCGGAGAGACTTGGCCTGATTGGAGCCAGGTTAGCCGGAGCCAAGGTGGCCGTTGGGGAAGTCATGGTGTTTTTTGATTCCCACATTGAATGCAACTATAATTGGGTGAGTTTTATATATATTATGACATAATTTTTTTGTTAATTAAATACTCCCTTTAGTTACCTCCCCTGCTTGAACCCATTGCCATAAATCCTAAGATCTCCACCTGCCCCATTGTGGATATTATAATGCACACAGACTTCTCCTATGGTGGTGGCTATCAGGAGGGATCGCGTGGTGGCTTCGATTGGAAGTTCTTGTACAAACAGCTGCCTGTCCTGCCCGAGGATTCGGTGGATAAATCCCTGCCCTATCGCAGTCCTGTGATGATGGGTGGTCTGTTTGCCATTCGGACGGACTTCTTCTGGGATCTGGGTGGCTATGATGACCAGTTGGACATCTGGGGCGGTGAGCAATACGAGTTGAGCTTCAAGATCTGGATGTGTGGCGGCATGTTGCTGGATGTGCCCTGCTCCAGGGTGGCTCACATCTTCAGGGGACCCATGGAACCCAGGCCGAGTCCAAGGAAGCACAACTTTGTGGCCAAGGTGGGAAACTAAAATATATTTATCATATAAAATATATTTATTAATTTAACTTCCAATACTCTCTCTTTTTAGAATCACAAGCGAGTGGCTGAGGTTTGGATGGATGAATATAAGCAGTATATATATGCTCGCCAGCCGGATACCTATAATGATTTAGATGCCGGGGACTTAACCCGCCAGCTGGCCATCCGGGAGCGTCTGCAGTGCAAGTCCTTCCATTGGTACATGACCGAAGTGGCTCCCGATTTCCTGGCCAAGTTCCCACCCATCGAGCCGCCCAGCTATGCCTCGGGTGCTATTCAGAATGTGGCCTATTCCCAGTACTGTCTGGATACCATGGGAAAGGCTTCCAATGAGGTGGTTGGCCTGTTCAGTTGCGCAGAGAACCGCACCCATCCGCAGGCCACTCAGTTCTGGACGTTGTCCTCCTATCGTGAGCTTCGCCAGCACTCCGATTCCATCTGCCTGGATGTGCAGACTTCTCCACCGAATGCCACTGTCTGGATGTGGTCCTGCCATAATATGGGCGGCAATCAGTTTTGGTTCTATGACAGAGAGAACCAGTGGCTGGTCCAGGGCCAGAGGAGCAATCGATGCATGGAGGGTTTTGTGGAGAATGGGAAGCCCTTGGTCCTTGTGAATGAGTGCCAGAGGGGCAACGATCGCCAGAGATGGATTTTCGGAACTGTGAATGACACCTTGTTGGACAAGTTCTTTGAGGGAGTTGAGTAGGGAAAAGATATGGAAATGTGACCAAAAGTAATGTAGAAGTTGTTAATAACGCCTCATAAATCGGTTTGATAATTAAAATCTATTTAGAACATTGTTTAAATATAAGCAAGGGAACTTTAATGGTTTTAAATCAAGTAAAACAATGTTTTCAAGTTAATTTTTCATGTATGTTTATTGGTTACAAAATCTTTTAATATTATTTTAATATAAGCTTATTAAATGTCTGTTTAAAACAACACTCAAAAATAATGAAGAATTAAAACTAATCAAGAATATCCTACTTGAAAAATCTCTATCCCTTCTCTTTTTCTTCCTCTTTTTTCTTTCTAGTTTTAACAATAAAAAATATCTTAATACCTATCTAGTTTTAACAATAAAAAATATCTTAAAACCTATATAAATATATTTCTTTGGGAATATCAGTAATCTTCTTTTGAATTAATTCTCACACATCAGCATATCGCCACCTTCCGATCAGACAAGTTCGTGGACCTGCGTGCGTCATGGGGCCTAGTTCATTGATCGATGCGAAGGTTTCCCGAAAAAAAAATATATAAAAAATATTCACTAAGTAAATTCCTTTTTTCCATTAATTCTTTCCACATCCATTATTGATATATAGCCAATGGAAAGTGAAAGATCTGGACTTCGCAAGTATGATTGTTATCGGGAGGACGCTTCAATCCGATCGCAAGGCAGAACTTTTGATGTTTATTTCTGTCTTTCTTTACTAACATAAGGAATTGTAAAGTTTTAAGAAACCTCTAAGGGTTTTATTTAATTAGCCTTATGTTTTCGAAAAATAGATAATACTTTAATTGGTGTATAGAAAAATAAAGAACTTCAAGCTATTTTCTTTGAATAATCATTTAGGAAAAGTAAACAGATTTATCTTAACTTAGCGTTAAACCTCGATTTTTTTCTTTGATAGTTTTAAATAAATACTATGGTTAGAGCATTCAATGTTCTCTATAAGTTTATGATTTTCCCGATTAAACAAACATTTTTTTGGCTGTCGAAAAAAACCTTATCGGAGGCTGTTGAACTTTTCAAAACAGAACCGGAGAACGAAGAAAGCGACGGAGGTGAAGTGGTGGAGGATCGCAGGCTAGACTGGAGAATCGCAACCCCCTTGAGGTCCCAGATGTCCCACAACCCCCGGGAATATATACAAATTTTTAAGGCTGATGTAATTCAAGACGCAAATTGCACAAGGTTCACTGTCGAGAGGACGAAGATCGAAGCTCCCTGAATGACTTAGCGTCAAGCAGTCTCGATTTGGATCGGGTATATATCCTTATCTAGGCGCATGCTAATTTATTACTGGCCACTTGTTGTTGTTTTGATTAATTCCTTCTTGTTTTGTGTTTCCTTTTCGGTGTATTTTTCATATTTTGTGCATAAACAAAGTCACATGAATGATTTGATTTTTGATTTTTGTTTTTTGGCCAACGCAGCGCGGCGCTCTCCTCGTTTGAATTCACAGAAAATGTGGGTCATCGACGTCAACGAAGATGCTCGGATGTGTGTTTCGGTTTATTTTGTATTCAAATATTCTCTATATTGGGGGGTATATGAGCTAGTGAAATCGGTTTAAACTACCATGATATATTTCTTACTTATTTACCATACTTTTACTAGCTTAACTGTCATAGCTCTGAGGGTATATTTCATAACATTTTTATATACTTTACCAATACTATACACATTATTTTAATATATTTATGGGCAGACAGCTTAACGTCAATATATGTTAAGTAATTCCTTATATAATATTTTGTTTACGTTTTCTTTCTTGCATTCCTTTCCAAGAACTATTTACTGCTGAATTAATTTGTTTACCAACTAAAGTGTCAAAAAAGGCTTGAGAAAATAAATCTTTTTGGCCATGACATAAATGTATACTCTATCTCTGAGCTTAAATATTGGTAACAGGAGAGTTTTTACAAAATAAAGAAATAATATATATATTTAAATATTTATAGAAACCCAATGAATTATACAGAATCAAAAAGCATTTAATTTATCATCATAAATTAAGAGAATATTTCTTCCTATCCTTAAGATACTTTAAGAACAATCTTTACCTAGCATTATAGAGCATCCCTTATTCTTGTACTCCCCATTGAATGAGATGACATTTTCATTCTCTTACCTTTTTTCTCAGTATTCCACTCAGGCTGAAAAATAAAAACAAGTTGCCATTCGACCCACAGCAGCTCATTCACAAACTATCTCAGACTCGTTTAGAAATAGATCCCACCCGAAAAAAGAAATAAAATAAAATCTATTCAACCAAAACACGTAGAACGTAAGCGGATGGTGCAATTTCATCAGCAAATTTCAATTTCACCCTGTGAAAAACAGATTTAAGACGAATTTTATTGTATTTAGCAGGCATCCCCCCTTTGCCTCTGGCGGAACGGCAAGAACACCCCTCGCGGCGCTTAGAGAGTCGGCTAAGAATTTCTCAAGACGCATTTTCACTTAAACTGCAACGCAATAGGAAAAGTTTCTACACATAGGGAAATCTTAAGCATCAATCAGGGTGATATAATTGATATTATCACATTAAATATTAATTATTATTGTAATCATATTTACTTGTAAAATTTATTAGATGTATTAAATCTGTTTTAATTTGCTCCTAAAGCTATGTAGTTAAATGTTTTATTATAATTTATTTATTACTGATTTAGATATTAGTATTTTAATATTATCATATAACATAATATAATTATGATATCCCATTTCTTATCAATATATATTTTTCTGTAGTGTAACTATGCTCTCTCTCTCTCTGCCTTTGCGCAGGTATCAATGGAAAGGGAAACCCGAGCCGGTTCTTCGAGGGTTGATAAGACCTAATGGCCTATGTCGCAGAGTCTCTCTTTCTCTACGGAGAAATAAATCTCCCGTATAGGCCGGCAAAGGCACGTAGGACGGGTGTTTATGTTTATGCTGTGGACTACGTGCTGGATGACACGGCATAATTCCGCCGGCTTCTCGGTGTTTTTGTTCTGGGGATTCTACTTAGGCTCCCCTGTTTACATTTTGGGGGTCAGTTGGCACTACCCAGATATCGCAGCCCCAACTCCCAACCCCATTAAATGTAATTGATGTTTGTGGGTCAGGCTTTTCCATAAATATTATTCTGTGATCCCAAATATAAACCTCAAGGTCCATATCCAAAAGTTTCCCCTTCTTAGCACATAAATTTTAGCACGCTTAGTGGTTGACCTTGTGCAGAATTCTGTACGGGGGGGGGCGATCTGCTAGAACGTTATAGATCGCCACACGTGGCGGCTTTACACTAACCCCGGCGATCCATTCGTTCCCTTTCGTATGACCCGTGGCCAAAAAAAAAATAGCGAATTACGCCGAATTGGCCGAATTGGCGCCGACGTAAGCAGAAAGTTCCTTTTGGCGCTACTTACATGCGTCCAACGATTAAAAATCGTCAACATCGCCCCCGCATGGCGTGAATTGCTCGTGCCGCTGCTTAAGTGGTACCCTGTATTGCGATGGGTACTTAAGAACCTCAAGGAACTCGGGAACTAAGGGTGATAGAGATATGAAATTTGGTATGTGGGCTGGTTCAGGTGTCTTTATTAATTATGTGGGGTTTTCAGAGATTTCGGCACTTGATTGGAGTTGTAAACAAAGAATTTAAGTACTAGGATTAACATTATATTAATGTTTAAAATATTATTCGAGCTTACAATACAAGTTGATGTTGAATTTGTACAATTTTTTATGCAATTCTTAAAGGAATTTTAAGTACTTGTAATGTAATGCTGAATTTATAATATTTTACAACTTCGGGAATATAGGGAATATCATTTTAAAACCTTTAGAATAATGAATAGAATGATAACATAATATACATAATATATAATGTTTTACACTTCTCGTAACTGAGAATATATCAATGATACAGCTATCAAATTTAATATGATTATAGTTAATGTTAAAATTCCATTTACTGGGTATTCTTCTAGTCCAAAAACCTTCATAAAATATCGTATGTTTTATTGCTATGCTCGACGAATACGAGCATGCACACGGAATACGCTTGGAACCTACGTCAAAAGTTTGCCGGCAACGTGTCTTTATGCTAATTAATTGTATTTCATGAAAACGAGTGCAAATAAAATAGCCTCTGTGACACAGAGATAGGAGCTAGGAGAGTACTTCCCGAAATTCTGAGGAAGACCGTTTTAGCACTAAAAAGTAAGAGAGAGCGAGACCTATTAGAAACCAGGTGATAACAGCACCCTCACCTGAGTCATCATTTGACTACGAATTCAATTTCCCCCTCTGGCCAGATCGATAATACAAATTCTTGTTAAGAAATGAATGCTGCTGCTGCTGCTGGCTAACTTGTTTACCAATAATATTGCCATGCATTAAACAATAACAAACGGCTAAAGATAAACAAGAGCTCAAGGCAAGAAGCCCCTCAAGAAGGCTCTCCCGCTCCCTCTCTCTCTCTCTCTCTCTCTCTCTCTCTCTCACTTGCTAGAAATGTCTGTAAGGTGTGCAGCAGACTAAAACAAAACCAAAATTAAAGAATAGCAACAAAAATATATATAAATATTAAAATACAAGAGCAACAACAACCAACCGCCCGGTTTGTCACAAACTACGCAGAAAATACTCGCCGATAAAAACAAAAAACATCAGGCGAGCCACTGAGAGAGAGAGACAGCGCATAGCTGAGCTACCCCAGAGAGCGAGAGGTATAAATAGCGGCTGCTTTCCGAGTTCAGCCAGCAATCGCTCAGCGAACGGCCAACAGTCAACAGCCAGCAGAGGAGCAGCTAGTAGCCACCAGTACTCATCGGTTAACCAAGAAGCAGCAAGCTGATTAAAAACCACAGCAAAACAACGCAATTTGTGTAAACAGTAAAACTCTTGTGCCAGCCATATCTTACAAGCTTACAAAAGCAGCAGCAGCGGAAAGTTTCCAGCAAAGAAGCGTAAAATCAATCAATTTTAAGATGTCTGCTTCGCCCACCGCCCGTCAGGCCATCAGCCAGGCTTTGCCCATGATGACCAGGAAGATAGTCATCTCGGATCCCATCCAGATGCCCGAGGTGTACTCCTCGACGCCCGGAGGAACCCTGTACTCCACAACTCCAGGAGGTAAGTTAAAAGACAGAAATTAAAGTTAAATCAGCCAAAAATTACAAACAAATTGAATTGAACAAACTATATTCATTCCTCTACCAACGTTTTTACTTTTCTTTTTGCAACAATTTAAATATAACTCAAAAATCAAGTTCATGCTTTAAAATTAAAACTCAGGGCTTGTGCTATTTAAAAACATTTTAAAAATGCATTTTTCAATTAACTTTGCTTAGTATTTTAATGCTATTTAAAGAACAATTTGAATTGCATTTTATTTCAATGAACTTGTAAAAGCAAATTGTGCTTTTAAATCAGTGAATTTTTAATAAAATTATACAACCTAAAACTGGAAATAATTATATTATTAGATAAGAAAAAATCTTGATTCTATTAAGAACTTAGTAAGTTCTCTCTAAACTTATAAACATTTTTGTAAATATGCATTTCAAATTTGTTTATCAATGCACCTTTTTCCTTTATTCATAAACCAACAAAGAAATCTTTTGTTTCAAATTCTTAAATTAATTTTTAAATGTTCAACTCACCTTAATTTGTTTGGTTGTTGGCTGATGAAACTTGGACATCCGACTGAATCAGTCAGCGGAATGATAACCAGACTCACGAACATGTGCTCCCGTTTGTGAGTTTGTGACTCACAATGATTACGCAGCTGTGGGTCTTATCATTGGGAATTCTAGATATTCCCAGACACTAGACACCTTGACTAATCACTATCTTTTCCTTCCTCCCGATAATTCCAGGCACCAAGCTGATTTACGAGCGTGCCTTCATGAAGAATCTCCGCGGTTCGCCCTTGAGCCAGACGCCACCCTCGAATGTCCCCAGCTGCCTGATGAGGGGCACGCCCAGGACACCGTTCAGGAAGTGTGTTCCCGTGCCCACGGAGCTGGTTAAGAAGACCAAGTCCTTGAAGATCGAGGATCAAGAGCAGTTCCAGCTGGAGCTGTAGTCTGGCCTTGAAGAGCTTTAAATTCCAAGCAAGCAGCAACTGCCAAATCATACTTAGTTCTTAGTAGTTAACCCTAGAAAACCCGATCTTATAAGCTTAGAAACCGTTTTTAATTAATTTAAATATTAGATACTTAAGTTTTTGAGTTCTTAAGTTCTCAAGTCCTTAGTTCTTCCAATTGTTTTCTTGTTCTTTCGGTCATATTGACTCAGTAAACTTTAAAAACTCTAGTGAGTAAGGTAAAAAAGCAATAAAAAAATCATAATATTTAAAAATTAAACTTGCGTGGGATTTTACATTTATTTGCCGGCTTATCAAGGGCACATTTCTTTGAATTAAATCTAGATTGATGTTTGAATAAGCAAATAGATTGCCAAACATGTGCGAATCCAAACAAAAAAATTGCTTTCTTTATCAGCGAATGAACCTTGGGAAACGCGTGTGATAGAACACTTTCCCACTTCACCTTGAGTCAGTTTAAAAATTTATATATTTTCGTCAGTTTATTGAACCGTTTTTATCGGAGAAATTCTTAACAAGTCTGTATAAGAATATAGAGGCTGTGAAGTGACTTATAGACAGCTGGAAATACCGGCCGGCTTTTTTAGTTAGCTAAGTAGTCACTGGCCCCGCCAGCGCGTGTCCCAGTTATCGAAAAAAAAGAATTATGTTTATATAAAGCAAACAAAAGATCAACACACAAGGGGTGTGTGTGAATATATATCTACAAAATAAACCGGCAAACAACAATAACAAAAAATAGATCTTTAGAAACTGCGCAGTTAGGAAACGACTTTGGCTTTGCCTTTGCCTTTGCCCCCATGTCTCCCTTTTATTTCGAGTATATATATTATGCCGAGCACATGTTTAGATAGAGCCAACCGATCCGATCCGATCCAAGTCGATCCCGGAGAGCACGAAACTATAGCCAAGTAGATGACAATCCGATCCCGGAGCACGTTCCAGCGTCTCCCTCCATCTGGATTATTGCGCATGAATTGTAATACTTGTAATTACTTAATATTTGAATAATTGTTTAGTCTGAGTTTTAGCATCGCAGTGCAAAAATTCGATTAGGCCAGAGATAGAGGGGAGCAGTAGTTCTACGCATGCAAATTCTGTGCTATCTGTCAATGTTTACTCGCTTGTTATAAATAAATGGCAAACAATTTTAATTAAATAGGTAAACTATACTGCCTGCTTGGGGTCTAGACGGAACAAATAGTTGCTGATGTGTTATGAAGCTCTCAATTTAATTAGTTTTGCTATGCATTTATAAATGAATAAATAAAGGGGTAAGGAAATTAAATGGAAATATTAGTTATATGATTTGTAGTGGGTTTTGTTGGATAGTTATTTGTTTTAAATTCTACTTATGAAACATATATAAATAGTAAGTAATTACAGGCCTTAAGGTATATCGAAAATATATAGATTTTTTTTAATTTTATATATGTATGTACGTTTACTTGTTTGTATTTCATTTATACAAACAAAGATTGTTATAAAGTATTACGTAAAGGCAAGATAAATGTTATCTTATGATCAATAATGTTTTCTATATGTTAATTTGAGTTCAGTTTTTTAATAATAACAAAAATAAATCAAAACTATTTAAAGGTTGGCGCTATATGATAGAATTTATTAAATTCAGTATTTTTTTGAGACATGAAAACTCAAAATATAGCATACTTTCCGGCAACTTTATATAGTAAGTATGTAAATGGTTCCAAAAATGACCGTTTAACAAACATTATCTTTATGGAGCCACTAATCTAAAGCTGAAAATATTTTAGGAATAAAAATTATATTAAAAAGTCAGTTAAAATAACCAAAATAACCCTATACATTACCACTTTCCATTCGTTTTCCCTTACAAAACAAACAATAAAAGGAATTTACATTTAAATACTTAAATCAATCACCAAATAATTAAATTATTCTCTCTAATTCCTCACATTAATTTCTCTCTTTATTTCTATCCAAATTTATATAATAATTTAATCAATTTCCATAATTTTTATCCATATTCATATATTTATTTGATCAAGTTTCGTTGTTTCGCATAGGACAAATGTACAAGAATCTCGAAATGTTGAAGCAAGCTTAAATATCTACTATAAAGGCGTTTTTTTAATTACAAATATTTACAATATTTATTTTTATATTTAATAGATAGATGAGCGGATGAGTGAGGGTGTAGTGTGGATAGGATAGATCGATCGATAGCCTCTCTACTACTTGAACCTCAGCAGGTTATCCGCTCCACCCAGAGGACCGTGGCCAAAGTGCAAGGCATCCGAGGTGGACTCCGACCGGGTGCGTGCATCCAGCACAGAGGCCACCCGCTGCTGACCACTGATGTAGCCCAGAGAACCGGACCCCAAGTACACATTACCATTGGCCAATCGCACAAAGCCCAATCCTCCAGATCCCAGGGCTATGGCATCTCCACCTTGCGGTGCTCCTCCCTGAGATCTCGGCTGAATGGCTAGCTGCTGCTGCTCCAGCAGCAGGGAGTTGGCCCGGGAATCTATCTGGATGCCATTGGCCGCTGGTGCACCCACATGCGCTCCAAAGCGATCGAAGAAGCTGGAACCCGACAGGAACGGAGCCGGAGTCTCGTCTATGTCGTTGTCTATGATCTCGATGACGGCGTACTGCTTCAGCTGCCTGCCATTGGACACGTAGGACTCTCCGGGAGAGATCAGTGCCTGCTTGCCGAAGGGTATCCGCAGGTTACCTCCTGCCGCCAGAGGAGCAGGTCCAGTGGGTGGCACCACAATGGGTGTGGACAGCGTGGGCACTGGCGAGGAGATCCTCAGTGCCGGTGGTGGTCCATAAACGGGCTTCAGAGTCGGCGTCCCATGGAAGCTTATCGAGGAGATGGGAGCAGCCACCGGTGGTGGTATATATGTGGACACCACTGGCGGCGATGTGGGCGGCAGATAGCGACTGACAAAGCTGGCAGCCGGAGCTGTGGGACGACTCCGGGGCAAAGGAACCCTGGCCGTGGGCAATGGCGGAAGTGCCGGAATCGGTGGCAGTGGATGAATCGTGGGCAAGGCACTGAACTGGTGGCCAGTGTATATCGATCCTGGTCCCGAAGGAGCCGAGGGAGCTGTGGGTCTCGTTGGACGTTGGTAATGATAACCTACATCCGCAGCAGCCAGGGAGAGGAGCGTCAGCGAGAGCAGTCCCAGAAAACTCAGTCGGTGGTAAGGCATCTGTAAATGTATAAAAAAAAGTGTTTTATTTACTAGGCAATAATTATTTAAGAGCTTAAATTAGTAGTGAAAAAAACTTCAATTAAGTTTTGCAATTAAAAGAGGAAATATTGGGTATATCTCGCTTGCCACACACTTGTTTTTGCCATTATGTTGTGACATCATATAACCGCTCAATCAATTAGATAAATGTTTAATGAGCTCAGCCTCAGACAGTAAACATAATTGATTAAAAATCACACAACGCAAGCGGATACTCTAACTCCCAAAAGGAGTTGAATTTGAACATTTAATATTTTATAGGAAATAAAAGTAATATAAATAAAGTGCAATCATATATTTCGAAGCATGAAATTGCACTATGTGATATATAGATATTAAAAACAATTGTAAATCCAAGTCTTTTGAAATACAATTATAACACGTTAAAACTAGGATTGTTCATTCAATTAAATTTTCAATTGTAAACCCCACTTTACATATATTTCTAACACATTTAAAAACAGATGGAAAGTGTATCAAAAACTCCCATTATTTTTGGTTTTAAAAACCTCTCTAAAAACTTTAGTCTTTATACGATTTAATTGATTTAATTTTGCAGTGCGCCAAGCTAACAGTAGTAACTGGTTATATGTTTATTTTTTATTTTTATTTTTTTGCCCGCTGGAAGATCGCTGTTGAATCATTGGATCGAGTTAGCCGGTGGATCGAATCGAATCGGATCGAATCGGTTCGAACAGAGCCACTGTAATTGGTGCGATATTTCATGCAGAGATCGTTGCCCAAGGCGACGCTTCGATCATAATGGGAGGAGAGCCACAAGCTAATTAACAAATCGGAAGGCAAATATTGTGTCTTTCCTCCGTTCACTCCCGGTAAGCGCCGGGTAATCGTTGGCCAATTAAATCAAATCGCAGCACTTAATTGGATATTTATATTCATTCGTACCATTAACACTTCCCACACACACCAGGAGCTCAAGCTGTCCTTTTGTGTGCGGGCATTATCAATCTTTCTCAATGGCTTTAAACAAAAGGAAAACAAACGAAAATAGCAAGGCAGGCGGGCGGACACCTAATGATATTTATCAATTGGCCAAGTCAACAGTGTCTAGCTTTAGCTCACAAATGCACTGAGGGAAAAGTATTAGTAAGTCATTGAAATATTGAAAAATATATACTGATCTATTTTGTATTTTAATAAATTAAAACAAAGGCATTTGAAACCTAATTCCAAGCAAACCAAAGTCAAGAATTCAGAATGATAATGGAAATGAAATCCTACTAATAAGGTAAGAAAAATTCATTAAATTTATTAACTATTACAACAATTAACTCATTAAATCTCTAACAAAATATACAAATATTTTATTTATTTAATATTTACTAATATTTCTCTCTCTGTTCCAAAACCAACACCAACTATAAGCCATTGCAAGTGGCAGCAGGTTCAAACTCTGGGGCCATGGCTACAAAAGGGGGGCCTTAAAAAAAAAATGCAGTGGCTTAGGAGGGGGGCCTGAGGCATAGTGTGGGGAGGGGTGGGCGTGGGAAGTGTGCAGCAAAGTGGCGTGTGGTCATTGTTGTTGCTTTCAGATTCAGTTTAGTTTAGTTTAGTTTAGTTTTTGTTGCTATTCCTATTGCTATTGGTGGTGCTGCGTGGGCGTTGCTTGGGTGTCAGTGGCGGGTTCAGATCATGCATCGAGTTGTCGCCGGCTCACTTGCCGTTGTTTACATAAAAGGCGTTTAATTAAGTCATTAAACAAGTTGCGATAATAAAGCATGTATTTATGTAAGTGGTGTCACCCAAAAAATGGGGGTGGTGAAGGTGATTTTTTGTTGAAGGATCAAAATCCTTGAATAATTATAATGAATAATGGGAAAAGCCTAAGAAATTTAAAGTTGTTAAAGATACAAGTGTAATTTAATTACTTATCAATATTAATATTTCCCAATTAGTTATTAATAAAGACAATCATAATTTTTATGGTTCTCTAATTAAAATATACAATTAATATCCGCACTATAATACATTATATTATATTTATAATAAATATTATAAAATCATATAATTCTTGTTAGTTCTATTCTAAAAGTTTACCTACTTCCCCATTTAGTTCTCTTCCATTAACAAACCTTCTCTTTCTGATTCCTCACAGCAAGTTCGTTGCCTAAGTCTTTCGTTTATGCTGCATAAATCTTGTGGCACGCACATGTGCCCCCCTCTGGCAACCCCCTTCTCTGCGGTTTCAGCTCAAATAGATTTGTAATAAATTATGCGCTATATGCACTATAATAAATCAATAAACTATAGCCATACGCAACTTTTTGCTGGTCATCGATTTTTTTTTTTTTTTTGCTCTTTTTGCATACACAAAAACGCATTTTTTGCCAGAGGTAACAGCGTGTGCCAAACGCAGGAAGGGGTATAGTGTTTTTTATGGAAAACTGGAACATATTTGAAGGCAGAAAAAGAGGGGGCTTTTTTTCTGGAGGTGACAGTGATGGAGAAGGGGATACAAAAAATGTTTAAGTGTTTAAACCCTTTTCGGGTATAAATTTAGTTAAAAGTTTGGAACTTAATGAAGAAGACATTTCCGACCCTATAAATCATATATATTCTTGATCAGCATAAAAATCCGAGTCGATCTAGCTATATTCGGCTAAAATTTAATTTTTTTTAAATTTTAAAATTTTTTTAAGACGTTAAAATTATCAAAAATTTCAACAAAAAAATCTATTTTTCCTTACTTTAAATTGAGTATGCAGATTTATTACCCTAATAAAAACTAACATATTAACGGTTTCCGAATTGAAATTAATGCTTTTTTGGCTTAGTTGTGAGTTTTTTAAATTGTGATTTGTCGTATAATTTTCATATAAAAATATACTTAATATGGATAAAAGATGGTATTATAATTTCAGCTAGAATCTTAAAACTAAGTGAAGGAGTCATTTCCGACCCTATAAAACATATATTTTCTTGATCAGCATCAACAGGGGAATCTTTTTAACCATGTTGGAAAGAAAAAAAATTTTGAAAATTTTTTTTCGACATTTTATACTTAAAATATTCAATTTTAAATTTTCAAAAATTGACAAAATTTTAAATGTCTTAAAATTTCAAATTCAGTATGCGGATTTATTAACCTAATGAAAAGTAACATAAAACTGCTTTCGGAAATAAAATTAATGATGTTTTGGCTTAGTTATGAGTTTTTTACTTTGAATAATCCAAAAAATTTACATATAAAAATATCGATTTAAAGAAAGCCTATATTTTAAGCCTCGTTATGGCCGATTTAAATTAAATTTTCCCATCATAATCAACACAATTTTTTCCACTTTTCAAACTGCAAGATCCTTTCCCCCTTTTCAGCCACACCTCTGGCCACTTGAAAGGCACTTGGCCAGCGGGCCAGACGTCAATGTTGCGTGTTGCTGGCCACTTCGGGCTCAATGAATGAATTGCATTGATTGAACGACTCACGCACCTCGCTTTTGGGCCTGGCTATTTCGGCCATTTCGCTCTATAAATTTTATGTGGCTTTTCCACTGCCAGCCAGCCAGACGGGAAAAGCCAAGCGAGGGGGGAAAAAGTGGTGGGTGGCGGGCGGTTACTTTAAAACTGTGTCAATGCGGCTCTGAGAGTCGCTTTGATTTGTTTGATTACTTTTGCGTGGCACTTTTCGGATGATATTGCATCACAGCCATGTATTTTTGCTTTTTGGCAACGGAAATTAGATTTTTTTTCTAAGCCGAATCGCTTAATTAAAATCCTTTGGGTATTTTTTCCCCTCACTCAAGTAGTTAACGGCCATAAAACGCAATCAGTGCGTTGCATATTAAGTTTCTGCCAGGATGTCACGTTGCAGTCTCCCCTTCTCCCCTCTCTGTTGAGAGTTGTGCAACTTTATGTGGTTTTTATCATTTTGTTTTTTTAATTTTTTGTAATTTTTTGGGATATTTTCGGATTAGCTGGAGGGGCGTTTTGTTTGGGTTTAAACTGGTTTAAAAACAAACTGGTATCAATTGGCATCGGCTACTTAGAAATCTCTCTGCGTGTGTGATGACGTTGTGTCAGCGACAGGGCCAGGAATGTGAATTGGTAAGCGGATTAGCGGGAAAAGTTAACAAAACATAAATCACTCAGCTGCACATCCTCCTCCTACAGGGAAATTATCATGTCCAGACGATGTCGGAGGCTGCGAATTTTTCATGACAAATATTGCGTATGCGACACGTTGACCAACTTAGGCAATCCAATTTAAAGGAATTGTGTGAGGAGTTTCCCGACGATTCAAATGCTCTTATAAAAAGTAGACTTAGTTAAAAATAACTTTAAAATTAGTCAACAGAAGTAATATAAATATAATTAAAACAAGTAAGCTAAGCATTATGTTAGCTAATAGAACTTGAAATTTCTATACCCTTGCAGAGAAAATAAATCATAACTAAGCCAAAAATACATTAATTTCCCTTCGGAAAATGTGTCTAATCTAGTTTTTGTTAGCTTAACAAATCTGCATAAAAATTTTAAATTTACAAATTTTTCATTTTTCTTGAATATTTTTGTTAAAATTTTAATGATTAACCCCTTATAAAATTTGAAAAAAATTTATAATTTTTTTTTCCCCATTAAGATGGCTAGATCGATTCTCCTGCTAAAGCTGATCAAGAATATATAAGATATATAGGGTCGGAAATGACTCCTTCACTGCTTTAAATGCTTTTAACTAAAATTATAATATCCTTCAAGGGTATAAAAATATGAAAATCAAATGAATCCCTCATAAAAATCTTCACAAAATATATAAACTTCTTGGTAATCTTCATGATTATCTTATTTCCCACGAAAAAAGAAACCAAATCCCCTATTAATGACTAAAACCCCATCATTTCAGTCGCTCTTAAAAATCTCCTTGCCATAAAATCGCCCTAGGGTACTATTAGCTTGAAAAAAAGAGTTATCAAATCGAACGACAAGTTTTTAATTACCAG